CAGTAGACTCAGCCATATAGAAAATTCAACACTTAATTCTACTTTTCACTCGTTATTAGTCCAAACATTCCATGTTTAAGACCAAAGGTCTGCGGATTCGAATCCCAACTTTCTTAGGTTAGCAGAGCATGCACAGTAGTTAGAGAATGTGTTAACTCACATGAAGAAACTTGTAAATTAAAGCATTTCTTTATTACATACAGTACCATCTCGATACAGCGAACAACTGAAAATAATTAATTAGAATACTGCTTATCGAAATATGGTACGTCATCACCGGAAACAACAACATAGTGAAGTGACATCTGCTTTCAACAATGCATGTCTTATGTACGAATTCTATAATGATATGCACGAATGACGTCAGATACGTTATCAGAAAAGAAAATATCTGTTGCCAACACACGACCGAAACTTAATTATGTTAATTTAATGTGTTCAGAGGAGTAACAAGCCACTCCAACAGAATCAATTCAATTTTTATAACATAATGAATTTATATTTTTCTTTTGCCAAAAATATGCACAATTGGGTATAATATAAAAAAGACACAACTACTTCCACTTAGTAGGAATAACATTTACCATGACGCAATGCTAAATTCTATGCCACTATCCACATAAATGCCACTATCCACATAAATGCCACTATCCACATAAATCAATTATTAATCAAAAGTCGAATATCAATTACTTTTCTTTATAATGCAATAAAATCTGACGAGCAGCTATTTAAACGATCAAACACTTCGTTTGTTTATTTGTGGCTTGAAGTTAGGCTCGCAGAAAATGCCGTTCATGGGTTAAATTTAGTAGGAATAACACAACCTGTGACGTAGGCTATAGTATACCCAATTGGGTACTTGCATTTCGAGAGAAAGAAGAGCAAACATACCCACACACGTGATCTATGACGTCAGAGCCAGCTGATCATCAATAAATAAAATGGCGCGTCTAAGTTAAGCTACGTTTTTCCATATAAGTTAGAATGTTAATTAACGTGATATTAACTAAATACAGCACCGTATTTGAATTTGTTGAAATATAATTCTTTCTTAGATTTATTATTTGTCGATGCATTTTATTGCAACACGTAATATATTTTTGTTTTGTGTACCTGGCAACTTCGATGCATAATTAGTTTGTTTATGTTCCAATACGAATAGATTGTATGCACTTCTAGTCATTGTTTTCAAGAAGAGGTAAACTGTTCACAAAATCGAAATGGGTTTAATGAGTGAACAAAAAACTTGATAATAACTGGTAAATAACTGTAAAATATGGGTAGTTTGAAGGTGTCAAGAAAATTAATTTCCTTTAACTATATAATTGGGTACTTGCACTTCGAGAAGAAGATCACAGATAATACCCACACATTTGACATATGACGTCAGCTGATCGTTAATGAGCAAAATGGTGTGTTGAAGTTGAGTTAAGTTTTTCCACATAAGTTAGAATGTTAATGAACGTGAAGTTAATTAAATACAGCACCATATTTGAATTTGTTTAATTACAATTCTTTCTTAGATTTATTATTTGTTTATGTAATTTAATGTAACACGCGTAACGTATGTATGTAATTTAATGTAACATTTTGTTTTGTGTAATTGGCAACTTCAATGCATTCAGTTTGTTTATGTTTTACATGACTTCGCGCCTGTCTTTGAGTAAGAAATAAATGGTACAAGAATTGAAATCATTGTGAATGAATTTTTGTGAAGGATTATTGTAGACTTAAGAGAATTGATACATGACGGGGTAAGTTAACTCGAAATCGAATGGAAAGAACAGTTGCTAACATAAACAAAGCCACGTTTGAACAATCAATCTGGCACGAAATACCCACATTATGTCACTTGCGTGTATCGCATTGCAAGACAATGTACACTCTTCAAAAGTGAAATTGCAACGCCAAGAAATAATGCACGCAGCGTCATGCAAATTTCAGGAGCGATAGTAGTGAGATGGATATGCAAATGATTAAATTTGCGCACGCATCTGATCACGTGGTACGCATATTCGGGCTATAAAGGCCAGAAACTTTCCCTTCTCTTAAACGGCATCTGAGGTTTTGCGTAGCATTTGCGACTTTCGAAAAAGCGTAGAAAATGCCTCTGAGACGTCGGCGAGCTCAATACCATCAGTTAACGACCAGGGAACATGACCGTATTATAGAACTCCATGAACTTGGTTTGTCGCTGCGCGCAATAGCAACTCGTGTTGGGCAGAACGTGAGTACCATCCAACGTTGTGTCACACGATGGATTCAGGAAGGTCTACGTGCACGCCGAAAGAGGAAGTGGTGCGCACAGGTGCACGTCAGAACGCAAAGACCGGCGTATTTGCCAGTTGACTATTCGAGACCCTTTCTCCACGGCACGTGCCATCCGAAGCCGGTTGCCTTCAGGAGCAGGTGGATCTGTGTCCACCCAAACCATACGCAACAGATTGCATGAAGTACAGTTACGTGCACGGGTACCAGCAACAGGGGTACCGTTGACTGCTTTACACAGGGCTAGACGCCTGGCGTGGTGTCATCGTCATCGTACCTGGACCATCCAATGGCATCGGGTATTGTTCACGGATGAATCTCGTTTCTGTCTGTGGAGAAATGACGGCCGTCGACGAGTATGGCGGTGACCCGGAGAACGCTACGAACCAGCCGATTACGCCGAGCGTCACAACGGTCCTACACCGGGCATCATGGTTTGGGGTGGCATTATGTTTGATCGCAGAACGCCCCTGGTACACATTCACGGCAGTTTGACAGCGGACCGCTACGTCACACAAGTTGTGTATCCCGTTGTTCTGCCCTTGTTGCAGGGCGCACCCAACACAGTATTCCAGCAAGACAATGTCAGGCCGCATGTCGCACGGCGAACTCTTAACAGCCTGACTGGATTTGACATCCTTCCCTGGCCGGCAGCCTCTCCAGATCTGAATCCCATAGAACACCTATGGGATCTCATTGGACGTGGCATGAACAGAGGACCAATGGCGCAAACCATCGATGATCTGCGCACAGCAGTGGATGTGACTTGGTAAAGGTTACCTCAGGCAACCATCAATGGAGTCATTGATAGCATGCCTCGCCGGAGTGAGGCCTGTATAGCTGCCCGAGGTGGCCACATTAGATATTGAATAAATTGCTTTATAATGATTTTATTAGTCTGTTTTTTTAATCATTTGCATATCCATCTCACTACTATCGCTCCTGAAATTTGCATGACGCTACGTGCATTATTTCTTGGTGTTGCAATTTCACTTTTGATGAGTGTATATATGAAAAATACCCTAAATTATTAGTTCGATTTGCAAAAAATAATAACAATCAATAAAAAATTAAATAAAAAAACAAATAAATGCATAAATTCTTGAGATTTTTCACCTGAAACGCTATTTTTATTGTAATGCAGAGAAAAAAAAGTGAAATAATAGATATCTAACTGGATATAAGGTTTTTTGTCTTATTTCTTGCAAACGAAGTATTACTGAGGTTAAACTCTAAATTAATAGTTAACAATTTAATATAGGCTCCTTTTTAAAATATTCTGTGGGGATTGTAGATATCGACCATATCAACTTTCATCTACAAAAAGGTACCCCAACCTAGAATCGAGTTAACATGTCTTATATACTAGTGAATTAGAATTGTGTTTTTGTAGTGGTAGATACACTACAGTACTCTCCCACCAGAATTTTATCTGTGACAGAATTCGATGAATAGGATACCACTAGTTGATTCGATGCTGTTTTGTGAGAAGCCGGGAAGGCTGTATTAAGATCACCGTACTTTTGAGTGCTGATCATTAAAGCTGTATCAAGTTCACGATCGTGGTCACTCCTGTGTTGTCTTTATCAGTCGAGTGTATACGTTGTATCAGATCGAGGCTGAGAAGCAAGAGCGTGAGGACAATGTCGAAGTCACAAGTAGCAAGTCAACTGCTAATGTCGACCAATCCCTCGAAGTAGGCGAGTTCAGATCGAAGCGGGCGTTAATGCCAAGAGAGACGTCATATCACGTCCGGGTCACCAATGTGGGGATTGTAGATATGTGTGAACTTTCATCTATGAAAAGGTACCTCAACATAGAATCGAGTTAACGCGTCTTATATACTAGTAAATTGCAATTGTATTTTTTCAGTGGTAGAAACCCTACAATTAACTACATAGAATGCACTTATACTGGAAAAGGTTTCATATAAGAACATAACATAACATAAGAACCTTCGCTTTATTCTGATAAAATTATCTAATAAACTATTAATGGGGCAAAACTGCTCTTAATAGTCCCCCCCTTCTATTTTTACATCCATGCAAGTGGAATAGTTTTACAGGTAATAGAACAGAAGCCTAACTTTAAACGTCAGTTTTCCTGTAAACTAAATTAATACTGAGGTGAAATCATTTTCAAATAAATCGACACTATCCTATATTGTACTAATACTTAACAAGTTTCTCTGCAAGGAAAGAACTGTTGAATAACGATTTTATAGGGTTGAATTGATTTGAAATAAATAGATAACCCAAATTGTACTCCTCTTTCAAAATGTTTCTCTGCACAAAAAGAATTAATGCAATAGAACTACGGTTTTACAGGGCATAAAATAGGAACCCAATCTTTAACTTCATTATATTTTCTTTTTAACTCAGGGTAAATCTATTTTTAAATAAATAGCTGTAACCTAATAAGATCATTTACTTAAATAATGGTATTTTTTGAAAAATGAAAGTATCCCCAGAAATCGAGGTCAGCGGCAGAGGTGTAGTGGCTTTCTTTTGGGCATGGATTTGGATTTTCATCACGTGGCTTCCAAACTTGCTACAACATATTTCCTTCTGACAAATTATTTTATAATATTTCTCAACTTTTTATTCTCACTCTGTTTCGACCACCTCTTAGAATTTTTCCTTTTTATGTAAATTTCATTCAAAAGTGTTAGTATAAATTTGACTTACAGTTGGTGTCTCGTTAAATGAGACATTGAATGAGAAACTCACCTGTATTTGTGGTGTTGAGGAGTCGAATGCACTGTATAGCATGGGTAAAACTTCAGATCTAAGATCACTTTTAGGAGTTTTTTGCATTATTATATCCATATTCTCCAACAGCGTCACTGTCGCCTGTATGCAATAAAAAATATAATCAACTCAAGAAATATACATAGAGCCAAACAAATGTATCCAAGTTAATTAATACAGTGGGGAGAGTAGACAGATATATATGTCACGGCCAAAGTCCGAAGTCCGGCCACTTCGCGAATTGGCCATACCTCTCGGACAAAGCGCGAAATAATTGAAACGATCAATTATTTCGCACTTTGGCCGGCCATTTCGCGAAGTGGCCACGATGTTCCGGCCAAAACGCGATGTGCTCATTCAAGAATGCCCGGGCAAATATATACCGGGCAGTGGCACTTAACTAGACCTAGTATATATTTCGAACATTTACCAAAGGTCAAGTCATAGTAGGTCTAATTAAGTGCCACTGCCCGGTATACATTTGCCCGGTATATCCTACACTGATGTTTTTTTAAAGTCAAGTGTCACTGCCCGGTATATATTTGCCCGCTTTGCGCTGCACTGATGTTTTTTTATAGTCAAATGCCCCTGCCCGGTATACATTTGCCCGGTATACCCTACACTGATGTTTCTTCAAGGTTCAGTGCCACTGCCCGATATGCATTTGCCCGGTATTTATCTTCTAATCTATCGTCAGTACGTATTAAAATATAGAATAAATGTAATCTATCGTCAGTAAGTATTAAAATATTGAACAATTGTAATTATATAATCGAATAAATGTAATTATATCTGGCCAATTCCCGAAATCAAGAAAAGATCGGACATTGGCCAGCCAATTTACAGCGTTCTTGGTCAATTCGCGATCTGGTCGGCCAATTCGCGAAGTGGCCGAATTCGGGCTTTGGCCGTAACATATAAATATAAATAATGTCTTTGCCGAGTGAAAGGATTAAAAACAGGTCTTAGGCAGGGAAGGAGGGTACAAAATTTATTTATTAATTATTTGACAGAGAACGTTTATCCAAGTATGGTCACGAAAAGTTGTGCTCCTCATCATAAGTTAGGGAAAATCTTGCAAAGTAAATCCGTTAAATTTTTCGTTTTAGGGAAACCTTAGTAATTGTAACTGGTCAATTAAATAGGTCGTGCGATTCCCACAAAGAGCAAAGGGGAAAACGTCTTGCTTTTAACTATTGCATACTTGAGCTAAAAATAGATAAAAGGACAGGATGCGAATTTAGTATAAAGTGTGAGAAAGTGTTTCGATTAGAATAATAAAATAAAATAAAAGGATTTTCAGAAAAGGATATATATATATATAGATGAGTGTA